CATATTCCTTTCTGCGGTCCAAGTCGAATTTGAGACTGATCCGAGCCCAATTCAGCAAAATTGACTTGGCCCGCAGAAAGGAATATGAATTTTGTACTGCAGATGCGTTACAACAACGCAACGCATGAAAAATATCTGATATTTTTATGCGATATTTCTATCCCATATGAATAAAAATATCTCATAGTAATCTCTGCTCATATGCGAAAATTAAACATGTGCCTTGTTGTTCGCTACTGACTTGCAGACTCACTCTCCCTCCCGTCCTCGCTCTTTTACACATTCCGTGCTGCTGTTGCTGTTGCTGCTGCTGCTTCTGTTGTTGCTGTTGTTGCCGTCGTCGTCGTCGTCATCATCGTCATTTTTCATGTTTTGCAGAGGAGCAAGCGAGCATATTCTTTCGCATCATCGAATGAATGATTCAATTCAATTCAATTCGAATGTGAGAATGAGTGTTGTAAATGGCGTTGTTCCTGTGATTCGCTATTCCATTTGTGAGTCATTGAGCTTCACAGGTCGAAATTAAAACATTGCTATCTCTCGGCAACAAATACTTCGATTCCGGACAACATACACACACGCACTCGTACGTATGCATATAGAGACGGAGAGCGAATTGCTTCGGTATCCTTAACATTTATAATACATTATAAGTGTACATATTGTTTGTGTAGAATGTTTCCGTTTACGTTGTACGTCTCGCTTTTCTTCGTCGTATAATTTTCCTTTTATTTTTACATTCATTTTCCTCGAACCAGAACCAGAGCCAGAGCTAGAACTATATGTTGATGTGCTCGGCCGAAAATGATTCTCTTTTGTTTGTTAAACGTGAATGTGTATCGGATATTGTTTGTGCTGCTAAAAATTACTTATTTTAGACAATGACGTCACTTATATTGTATCCATTTTTGGTCTAGGTGGATATGAAGTGTAGACTGTCGTCATGCGATGCAACACATCGAAGCAGAAGAAGAGGAAAAAATGTCGAAAAAAGAAGAAGTAAAAAACCATTTTTGAGCGAGCGAGCGAATGAGAGAGAGAGAACGAACAAAAAGAGACAAAAAGACATATACACCGAGAACACCGAAATGAAAGCCAGCTTTGTACTTGAGTGATTTTGCTCGCTTTTTTTTCGTGAATAATGAAAAGCATGATGTGCTTCTCTGTTTCTTTTTTGCACGCGGCAGCCACCATACACAGCCACAACGCCAGTGAAAGTAAAGCTGCAAGGAAATTGTGGTAAAAAGAGAAAAAAAAACAATCGCCCCCGGACTGAATAGAATAAGCGCTTGCATGCTTTACGCTTGATTATTATACTTTATATTTTATACACATGACGATAAAAACGCACACACGGCCCACACACCAATGACGATTTGTGGGCCATCTCGTCATTAAAATTATTATCACATCGCTCCACGTGATACACACACGTTTGCTCTGTGGCACGGAATCGCATACACAAGAGCATCTCACATTTCGTGCGTTTGCAATGCACAAACATGCCGCCCTCTTTATTTATTTGTTTTCCTTGTCGTTTGTGTGCGTTTTTTTTCTATCTTCCCACCGTTTGACCCGTTGAAATGCAAAAGACCAAATGCCGACGCAGTTGCAATGGCACACATTAAATTCACAACATGCACGAAAATCCCCTATTTATTTGCATACACGTGTTCCAATATATATATGTGCATTCAATGCGTGGTCTTTCTCAACGACAGTTTGGTTGTGCTTCTAAAAAGCTTATTCTAGAGTTTGGTCGTTCGCTTCGCTCTGCTTGTCTGAATCAGAGAGTTTGTCAGAGAGACAGAGAGAAAGAGTTTGTGTATGGATGTGCGCCGTGTGTGTGTGTGTGTTTGAGAGAGAGCGACAAGGGCAAAAGAAAATGAGTTTTGGGCGGAATCACAGAAGCGACTTAAGTTAATTCGCACAGTTTGCATTCGATGCATAAACATTTCAGTAGCAACACCATATACCGCTGAGATCATTTAGCTGAACCATGTGCCCTTCTGTTGCTCTCAATCCAGTGCATTGTTCTCGAAAACGTTGTGCACGCACGGTTGAATTAACGGAATGAATCAAATTAGATGGTCTCAAACATGTATATTATTGAATATTATGTATATTGTTGAATTTTAAAATGTTCATAGTGTAGCCAATGGTGTGGTCGTGATCCTGTGTTTCTGATTTCGATAATTTGTGTTGGGGAAACCACATTTGCGTAGGCGAGACAATTGTGTGAATGAACATTAACCGAAATGAGAATTTTCTACGAAATGCGCGTAATTACGAAATGAATGCGCGCTTCGGCGAAAAAGAACCGTCCATTGTTATGGGGCACACATTGCATCACGGTGAAAATCGAAAGTGGGAGAGAGCGAACAAATGTAAGAGATGAACATTATTGGAAAATAATTGGAACAACAAACACATTTCGGAATTGAAATGGACAATAGTGTCATAACACACGGAGACTCGCATTACTTATTTATTTATTGTCGATTGGTCGACTGTCGACTACAACTGTCGGTTTGGTCGACTTCGTCTATGGTTTGTTGGGTATGCACACAACAAATGGCTAAGTGTGATCCAAGTGTAATCCAAGCGATGTTCAGTGCACAATTAAAACCACCACGCACGACTCTCGACCGCTCCGATGCATTCGAACTCGGTAATGAATAGTTGAGCAAACAGGCTGAACTGATCAGCGGCAGTGGTGGTGATGGTGGTGGAGTTGTCTCTCTATTTCACCCCGCACATTCTCTCTCATTCGCTAACTCACTCCTCTCCATTTCATCTTGTCAATGCCTGACTGCTGACGTTGTTGACGTCTTTTCGTCAACTCTATTTTGTTCGCAACGTTATTTTAATTACTTTTTCAGTGCTGTTGGTTTATTGACATTCCAGCTGCTGTGGATGGGGTACGGTTCGTTCTTTCTCTCTCTCTCTCTCTGTCACCCATTCCACTGGGTGTTTGTACAGTTCGAAATGTAAATATAATTGATATTGTTGTTTGAATTTGTTATTCGATTTCGTTCGCGACATCAAACTAAAAACGCGACACATTTGATACGGAAAAAGTTTTTCGCACTCGAAATTTACAACGAAACAATGATGATAGAGAGAATGAGAGCGAAAAAACCATTCATCGAAAATGTTTTGAAAAATTATTAGCATGCAATGCGGGCGAAACATTGAATTTTTAATGGGGATCGGGATCGGAATGTGGCACTTAAGTTGAAATTCTTAACCGTTGTATGGTTTCACAAGTGGTTTTGTTAATTTCAACTGCTTGACTTTGAACGAGATGGAACGAGTGAGCAAGATCGAGAGGGAGAGAGAGAGAAAAAGACTCTTTGTCAAAACCTTATGGAACTCGCGAAAGCGAATACAACTTAAACAACCGCAAATTGGCATTTAGATCGTCACCGAGAATCAAAACATTACATCCGCACTCGCATGATTCACACTAAATGTTTGGACAGCGATGAAAGCAGCATGTTCACATATACCAATCGACGTGTCATACACTCGCTAAATGCTGCGTTTTTGCACAATTGCATCAACACAAAGAGGGAAGGGAGGGAGATTCAACACGCACGACAGCAATTACAATTCACACTATCATGGTTTCGAAAATTCTAAAAGTGATTTTTTTTGGCGAAATGAGAAATTCGAACGACAAAAGATCAAAAACGAAGCGAATTGTATTCGATCCAAACTCTCACAATACTCAAGATGCTGTCTTACTTACTTCGTATAGTTTTTGTGTGTGTTGCTATTAAAGATTGCTTGTATGTTGTTTTGTTTTGAACTTGGTTAGTTTTGATTTCTTTTTATTTTATTTTGACAATACGGTGCCAATAATTTGATCTTTTCGCTTCGATTCGTTCAATTTAACCACCAGTTAACTTGTCGTTTATTCCTCTTCGATAGATTCGTCGTTCTCGATGTTTATTTTTATTATATATTTTTTCCAGTGAATTTTTATTTTGGTTTTTCTCTTTTTTCCGCAGTTTTTTTTATTGTTTCGCTTAGATTGGGTGATTCGTGGTTGTCGCTTTTGCACAAAAAAGTTCGTCAATGATTAAGATTTTATCTTGTTACTTTTCACATTCATATGACACACAAAAAAAAACCAAATATAACAGACTCGATATATCGCTAACACGAAACTAACACTTTTGATTGCTGTGCTACTGTTGTACACTTCTGATGTTTGAAAGCGAATAATACGTGAATGTGGATCGGTTTTGTTGTATATGTGGCGGCGGAAAAACTGTTTCGCACTCTCGTTCACAACACGAAACTGTGAGGGGTAAAAATTCACTTTTGTGTTCCAATGAGTGAAATTCCTGTGGAAATGCCAACACACATGTGCATACCAATGTTGCCTTCGAATTTTTCCACACTTTTCCACTCACAAAATGTTATTGGCAACAAAGTTGATGTACTGGAATTTGGTATTCCATTCCATAGACAAAACTCTGAGCAAGCAAAAAATGAACAACTACTGTATTGTGAACTGTCTCTTCGTTTTGACAGTCAGCAGTAGCAGGCCCACGAACCGGTTTGCACCGCAACCACTTCGACTAATGTCACGTTCACATTACTGATTCCATATAACTTCTGCGAGAGACGGTGCAGTGGTAATGTTTGTGTGTTTTTAACATCGGTTATTTTTTTTGCGGGTGATACAATCCACCAGTTGGCCTCTTTGTTTGGTATTGCTACTGTTACAAGATATTTGGAAAAATCGCAAAATAACGTTACGGCGTATTGATTACCTTTTTCGGACAATGGTCAATGGTCCAATTGTATCGATGATAACAACATCAAAAACCGATTGTGGTGTTGGTGTGAGAGTCATTGGTGCTTTAATTTTTTGTTTCGGTTTTGATAAGTGACACTGTTTGCAAGAGTTTATGAATTTGGCAATGTCTCTATTCATGCCTCTCCAATAGTATTCAGCTCTCAGTCTGTTTTTAACCTCTGTACCAATGATGCTGACATTCGCAGAATTTTTGGTGAATTACATTCATTATTAAATGTAATCACGAAACAGAAACTGAAAATGCGACCAAAAATGAGATGAATGCGTATGAAAGTGAAACAAGCGAGAGAGATAAAACACTGACTAGATTGATATGTTTTATAATGTTATTATTTGTTCCTTAAAATTACAATATCAAAACAATTTTCTTTTTGTTTTCAAACGTAACAAATAATTCAATCGAAATTCTGAAGCAAATGTGTTCGGTAAATGAATTAAAAAATCTTGCTTGAGGTTTATATACCATACATTGTGGTTATTTGTTAAGAGTTCAAAACGAAGCCGAAGTAACCGCAAATATTTTGTTTTTTAATGAAAACATATGAATTACCACAAAAAGAACACATTCAGATAAATGAGACAAAAATTTGGAAACAAATTTAATCGATATCGACAAAAGAGAAATAATCGTGGTGCGTTGGGGATTTTTCTTGTCTGTAATCTTTGGCTATCTGTTTTAAAATTTATTAATCATTTTTTTTTTGTTGTTGTTGTTGATGGTTGTTAGTATCTCATGCATTTCATAATTTACGTTTGAAAAGGAAAATAATCTACGTCATAGCACTGGCGATGAGATGTGAAGAGAAGCGAGTTTTTCGTTCGTATGCAAAAATGAAGCGATAGATCATCATTTTTAAAACGAGAGAGCAAAACGAATTTGCATCGTTGTTACCACAAAAATGTTTTTCATCGAAAAATATCCGCTTCTCCCATATTCATTAACAGAACCGAGAAAAAAAACCAAAGTGTAATTTCTTATTTTATATTATTCATGATAATTGAGTTTTTTTGTTGTTGTTTTTTTTAATGCTTTCAATAATTCATATCCAACATATTTTATATCTTCATACGTATTGTGTCCTTTTTTCTTTGTCTTGATACCTACAAAACTGCATCGGGTGGACATTGTTTACAAAGGAAATTATGGTTTTTCAAAATGAAATTGCAAATTCGGTTTTTAAACAATGACGACACGATTCGAGTCGTTTTTTTTAGCTGTTGTCGCTGTTTGTAAATTTCAAGAGAATCTTCAATTGCAATTTCTTTCATGTTTGCTTTCTTCTTAATTTATGTTAAAAGTGCGACTGACATTGAGTGAGTCGAAATCGGTTTGAGAGAAAAACTTGACTTGGCTGATAGATACGTTTGGTGTGTTTGTGTATGTGTTGTTTTGCCATTTATTAATTCTTTGTTTCTTTTTTTTTAACGATTCTTTTTTTGCTGACTTTTTCTTTAAATTTTTGATAAATATCAATATAATATTGCTATAATTTTTCTACATAATAATATAATGTACCCTAATATAAGAGATTTTTTTATCAATATAATTTTACATTTTTTGGAGAAAAAAAATTGATTTTTTTTTGTTCATGTTTTTCTTTTTATTCAAGACTGAAAGAGATATTTTGAAATAGATGAAATGAAAATTCTGAATAAATGACAAAAGACGAAAAAGCTAAGCATATTCATATATCTTTGTTTGGTTGGGGTTTTATATTTGTTAATATCCAATGGAGTTTTTTTTGTCTTTGGGTGTTCCGTCTCACAAATTCATTGCTATGAATTTCTTACCTAATTTCAATTTTTTATCTGCATTATAATAATATTCTTCGTTTAAATGGAATAAAAAAATGTAATGCCTAATTTTTTTGGTTTTATTTCTTCTAAATATATCATGTTAATTCGTTCATCATTTGTTTTTTTTGCGTTAATAGAATTGCAGTTATTGAAACCTAATTCAACAAAATGGATTATTTCATCCAAACAATGTTTTACATATATTTTTTTATCACTGAGCCGAAAATACATTCAGAAACGTCTCATTACTGCGATGTAAAATGAGTCGTTAACTGAATTGAACGAAATGTTCTTTTTGTTTTGGTTTGACACACAATCGAATGAATAACATATATATATATAGCTCCGTGACGCCAGCCCCCCCCGGTTCCAAAATTTAAATCCGAGAACGGTTTCGTGTTCTACGCAATTTCTGCTGATTACTGCTCGCTCCGCAGAATTTCTGCTGCAACCGGTGACGAGCAGTAATTGCCCGAAGTTTCGGAAAAATCAATTTTTCGCATATTCGAAGGTTTTGCCCCAAAAATTAATTCCAAACTAAATTTTAAACATTTTCATGATCTAAGGGCTGATAATAAAAGATCTCGAAGCCCTCTAATTTCTGCCCGTTCCCCACAATTCCTGCTCCAACCAGTGACGAGCAGGAATTCGACAAAAATTGGAAAAAAAATGTATGAAAATCGATATCACAGTGCAACAAAGTTTAGGTAGGTCCATGTCACCAGCACCGCCAGTGCTGTTAAACCATAATATGTTATAATTAGTGCTCGAATAGTGCTGGCAGATGCCACTTCCAGATTGCAAAAATCTTGTCTAGGGGCTGAGCACTAATCGTCAATATTCTTGAAAAGTAGATTTTCGGTACATTCCCATGGCAAGTACATGAAATCGAATTTTTTTCGTATCAATGTAGCTCTATGACTCCTGTTCGAAAAAGTGAATCACTGTTTTACAATTGAGTCATGAAGTGAGTAATCGAAATGAGTCATAATCGAAGTCATTCATTGTCCAAAGTAAGTCAAACTTCATGTGACCGGCTCTTAATTGATTCACAGAATGAAACTACAATATGTACATCTTTTGTCGAAGAAGTCCCATTTTTGTAGAGAAATGAGATTTTTCTGGGTGTATTCAAACTTTTGACTTGGACTGTATACGTGTGTGTACGTTTATTCTCTTCTTTGTTTCATTTGATGGCGGAGGTTTGCACATGTTCTTATTTCTAATGTTATGAATCATCAATGAAATTGAAAAAAAAGTTGACAAACATAATCAATAAATGAAACAAAACAGTCAATAGAATTGCTACAATATGTAATTTATTTTGACATAAGAGGCAATAAATTTGTCAAAATTGGAAACTGACATTTCTTGCAATAGAACTGACAATAGCAACCACTAAGTAAATTAATTTATGGCAAACTTATTGCAAAAAATGATAATTTTAAGCCCATTTTGTCAGATTTATTTTCCAATTTTGTCAATTTTATTGCCTCTTATGTCAAAATTAATTACACAATTTGGCAATTTTATTGACTGTTTTGTTTCATTTATTGATTATGTTTGTCAATTTTGTTGAACTTTTTCGTAAATTTTATTTCCAGCTATGTCATTTTTATTGACGGTTTGTAAATTTTAAAGGAGGTTTTGTATTTAACCATTAGTGGGCATCTGGACCTTTCAATATCAGCCACCAGGTCATCAAAATATTGAAAACTTCATTTGGAATTGACTGTTGGTGTGAAACCTTCGAATATGCAAAAAATCGATTTTCATGGATTTTTCGAAATTTTGGGCAATTACTGCTCGTCACCGGTTGGAGCAGGAATTGTGGGGACCGGACAGAAATTAAAGGGCCTCGAGATCTTTCATTATCAGCCCTAAGATCATGAAAATGTTCAAAATTTAGTTCGGAATTAATTTTTGGGACAAAACCTTCGAATATGCAAAAAATCGATTTTCATGGATTTTTTCGAAACTTTGGACAATTACTGCTCGTCACCGGTTGGAGCAGAAATTCTGCGGAGCGAGCAGTAATCAGCAGAAATTGCGTAGAACACGAAACCGTTCTCGGATTTAAATTTTGGAACCGGGGGGGGCTGGCGTCACGGAGCTTATATATATATATATATATATATAAATGGTTTGGAGCGAAAATGTAATACAGAAAAGTTGAACGAAAAAATGTCAAATGAAAAGGTATAGCTCTAGTTCACTTTAGTTTACTATACAGTTTACTATATAGCTATCCCTTTTCCACTCATTTATCATCGACATTTTTCCGCTCAACTTTTCTGTATTACATTTTCGCTCCAAACCATTCATATATATTCACAGAACAAAAATGGCATGAAGAGAAATGACTTTATTTTTTGTTTCAAATTTGAATAAATAGAAGAAAACAAAACTGGCTCAAAGAAATATGTAATTTTCGAACGAATGGACAGTAAAATTGGATGGTATTTTTCGTTTCTCATTTCAACTTATGGGAGAGAAAAAAATGTGAAGAAAATTAAACTACTTAACAATGTTGTCGCAATTGTAAATTCTAAGCCATACTCTGTGACTCTGCTCCATTCGGGCAGACTTTAAATAAGACTCTCTTCATGTTGGTTCAGCTGTTGTTTACCTTCCCATTTTCCGAATGAAAGAAAACCCGATATTGCATCTAAAGCAGAGTTTTCTAACGGATGAGCGCTGAATCCACAACAAGGTCCATTATTCAAGTCGCCATCAGTCGAAAATGACTCATATTTTGGCTTGTTTTTTTTTTCTAAATTAAATGCTCATTTAAACTAAGAACAAGTTTCACAACCAGGCCATTTGAAAGAAAGCCATGCATTTCGTTACACCAGAATCGCATAGGATTGTCCATCCTGGTGCAGATGGGGTTTGTAACGAGATGGAAGAAAAAATAACTTGATTAAAAACTAAGAGCTGCGCCCGAAAACTGAACTTCGCGTTAACGGAAAAGTACTCTGACGAAATGGATGTGTTTAATTTCAAAAAGACAAAGAAACTCGGAACAATCGTTTCGTTCTGACGATGGTAAAAATACCGAACTCTAAGTTATAATATCTGCAATTCACTACGATTACTTTTTTGTTGTTTTTGTTGTTGTTTGAGGAAAAAACGAACTGGTTTTTTTGGTTATCAATAAATGCGTGAATCGCTTTGAAGTAGTAAACCTAACAAAATAGGCGGAGAAGAAGGAGGAGGAGGAGGGCTACTATCATCGAAAGAGTTATTTACTTTTGTTTACTGTATCTATTTTGTATCTCTATCTGCGTGGGGAGTGGAGTTTGTATTGCATTGCAAAAGTCCTTGAATTGGTGTCGCATGGGATGTTTCATTACACCAAATCTCTTGAGTGTGAGTGGTTGTTGTTGCTCTCTTGTCTTCTCATTTGACGTGTAAATATTTTATTTCATTCGCAATTGGAATAAATTTTTTTTTGTTTTTGCATTTTTATTCTAACCTACAGTAAATTATCATTTATTTATTCTTCTTCTTCTTCTTTTTCAGCTGTTCATTCATTCATTTGCTGGGCCTCTGTGTGCATCCCATACATCGTGTATATTTAACGCTAATTATTACTCATCTTATTTAATAAAATGTTCCTTTTCGTTTTGTTTGATGTGAATAATTTCATCAGTTGCAGTTGCGGTTCATAGTTTTCCCTTCTTTGTATGTATGTTTGCCTGCCTGAGCATTCCTCTATTTTTCACTTCTTTTTTTTTAATTAATTAAGTGGTTGTTGTAATTCAGTTTTGTTCACGACGAAAAAATGCGGAGTAATTGAATAAGCTACTGTGTCTGTGTGTTATTTTGAAATGCTGTTTATCATAATATATATATATATATATATATATATAAGTAATTAATTTGCTAACAAATCGTCCTATATATAGTCTTTATATGCAATTTTTTTGTTTATTTGTTAATGAATAAAAAAACTCAACTGGAAAGATCAACAAGGAGTAGGCTGTAAAAAGTTTGCTTTTTTGTATGTTGCTTATGCTTTGTCGGGTTGGTTTTTGGTTTTTGGTTTTCGGTTTTGTTTGTGTGATACTGGCTTGTTAGCATGGTGTGTCTTTTTTCTGGTTTATTTGTTCAATTTTGTTGTCGTTGTGCAGATGTTTATTACAATTTGAATGTGTGCGAACGTGGGCGCTATATATATATAACGGTATATCTGCACATGATATATTAATATGCTGGTATTTGTATATGTGTGTAGTGTGTGTGTCTGCTCTCCGCAGGTGATACAATTCGGGGTAGTTTACTGTATAATCATTACGATATTATTTGGTTTTGTAGCATAAAATGCTTAATCATCTTTGAAAAATGGCGAACGCTGCGATTTTTTTTTTCATTTAATTTCAAATGTGAAGAGAGGGTGGGTGAGTTTGAATGAATGAACGAACGAACAACGTTTCATATCGAACCAAAACCGAAAATTAAAAACAAAATATCAACGGCAAAAACTGTTGTTGGCTAGGGGCTTTCATGTATATTCCATCCAAGAAATATACACCATAGATGACAGTCATACGAAATATTCACAATACTGGCAAAATATTCACCATATTCACGGAATATACACGATATTCATGAAATATACACCTCATATTCACGATCGGTAACAGAGATTCGACATTGCCGTAAACACATATTTTTTACATGCTGTGTATATTCTGTGAATATGGTGAGTATTTTTCGTGAATATATACACGATATACACGGATAATTGCAATATTCACACAAATACGAATGTATATTTTGACTTAAAAGCCCCTAGGTTGTTGGTCTTCCATATATCGTCTATCCATAATTTAAGGTTATAAATAATTTTATCTACAAATCGATAATGAGTAAACCAAACTATTTTTGTAGAGCTACAGCAGAATTTTAGCATTCATTAAATGCGTATAAATGTATTTAATATAACGTTTAGGACCAATTTCTTTTTCATTCTCTTTCTGTTTTATTTGTTTTTGTTTTTCTCGATTACAGCAACCATGAAATGGTTACTCTGAATGCTACGCTAGTATTTTTGTTGTTGTTGTTTTCATTTGGTGTGATAGTGTTCCTTTTCTCTCATTTCTCTCTTTTATTCTTCTTTTACTCAATGTAATTGAACTTTGGAAACTTAAACATAATATCGGTGTGTAATTCTGAAGGGAGTTAAAAAATATTTTAGAACCATCTCATACACTTTTCTATCTTTTCAATGGCAAATCCAATATCAGCAACCAAATCACTCCAAGTTTGTTCAATACAAAAGAAAGAAACAAAACAATGCAACCAAACGGCATTTGGTAGTATGTTTGGGGAGAGCGAAAAAAAAATTAAGTATTAATGCACTTTTTTGTCTGTTAAAGACTCAATAACCAACATAATTTTTCTCTCAAAATTGTTTTTTGTTTCTTGTTGATAAAACGAATAAAGTGATTTTTCTTCTGTACAAGAGTACGGCTCGCCTATGTTCACCTCTACGATCATTTTCATCAAACTTAATGCATAATTTTGTATAGATACTGTGATTCTCCTTCTTCTTTCTTCGCAAAGAATTGGCATAATGATGGTATCGTCTGTTCTGCTTCTGCGTCTGCTTCTTCTTTTGTATGGTTTTGGTTGTTGTCTTGCTTTCGTTGAGGAGGGGAGGTGGAGGTTGGGTTGTATGTATGTGGTGAGATAAAGACAAATTTATTTGAGAAGCTGATGAGCTCGCTCGTTTGCCATCGCTATCCTTGTTTCGTTGGATTCGCCCTGTGGATGTGTGTGTATGTATGTGTGTGTGTGTGTGAGATGAGTCGAATGAAAATAGTAAATTTATCAATCTCAGTTCATTATGTTTGGATATGCAGGTGCACAGGTCAAAAAGGTTTACCTTTGCGTTGATTCTGTCAATCATGCGATTCTGGTTATTGAGCTCAGAACCCATATCGATTGCCATATTCCGCAAGTTTCCTATAAATCATTGCCGAAATGAACACACGTTAGCATACAATTTGATTAAACAACATGTTTAGTTATATGGTGGCTCCAGAAAAGTGTCACACACAAAACACATGCATTTCAATCGATATGAATAATTTAATTTCGGTCCATATAAAATGCTTTCGTATCAATAAGTGCCAGACGATCGATAGACAAAAAATGCTTCAAATAAGCTAAACAATTTACCAATCATTGTGTTGACTTGACCCATATTCTCTTCCATCTCGTCTTCGCGTGCATCGTTTGTGATCCTATTTGGTTTGTGGAATGAACAAGAAGTGGCCGTATTAGCAAACACAAAAGACATTCGGAACTGAAGAGGTTAGATATTCGATGTGTATACTCACTTTCCAATGTAACCGGATGCCATCATCTGTTGGCCGTCCATCATGACACGTTGTGGTTGATCATTAACCACTTTGCCATCACCTTCACCTTTCCATGCGCCCTCGTCCTCTTTGAATGCATTATTTCTGCACAAATGACATTAAAAGTAAATTATGTATTAGTTGCTTGTCCGAGCATTTTGGGCTGCATCGTTAGCGATGATTTGACATTTTGGAATCATGCGAAAAACTAATTACTTTTTCCATGGTAAAACGCAAATTCCGCAACATTTTTCCATGCCGCTGAGTGCTTTTTCAGCATCCATCATGTCGGCTCGAATCTTGTCCATATTTTCTTCGATTCGTTCCAATTGCTCTGTTTTGCATAATTTCAAGTTGGTACGGAGCAATTATCCAGGGCGCGCAACAAATGTTCGTAAGAACGGAACGGAAGAAAGAACATTAGGAAATTCAAATGAATTATTGATGGCGTTCAACAAGGATTTGCAGCTATAGCCTAATAATGCCGCTTTTGTATATATATAAAGGAATACGCACGAATTGGGCCATTAAAACAATACACACATACAAATCAATCATTATTTGCCATCTAAATGATCAATATCTGAATTCAACTAATAATTATTTTATTCAACTAAGTAGTAAGCGGCGCTCTAAAAGCGCTATTTATACAGTCATTGCGATTATATATCCATTTGTTTCTCCTATTGACAGGTAAACACATACACACCGAAAGAGTTTTTTTGTATTTTGTGCTAAAACAAATTGCTCGAAAAATGGAATTTCTACAATATTCCAGTTGGTTTTTCGTCGTATTTTTTTCTTCCTTCTTTTTCGAAATGAATGCTTCGATTCAAATTCGAATTTATCGAATGAATGGACTACGTTCGATGAGACACAGTGACGACAGGATCCGAACGCATCTAGTTGTGCGCTGAAAAATTCATTGTTTCGATTGTGTGTTATGTGATGAGTCCATATTCGATTTCACACGTTCCAATTAATGTTTAGCGAATTCTGCATTGTTCGTTTAATTTTCTATATGTCAAACCAACATCTCTTTCTCATTCAACACTAAACGGTGCACGAAACATGCAATTGGCTTGGATTGAAAATATAACGGAATCAAAACAAAAGCATTTTTGAAGCGAGACAAAAGCTCGTTTGATCTATTTTTTATGGAAAATCCTAATTCTACCTTTGTACACATGGTTTTTTTTTAAATTCCTATTGTTTTTTTGGTTGCAATTTTGCATGGAAGCTCTTCTAAATGCATCGTCATTGAAAAATATACAATTGATTGAACTACGATATTATGACACGTCTAGAAATCGCCTGCATCGGACATCACTTTATTATTGATGAGGTGTAGTTTTTCTTTTAATAATTGACTTGTTTCCGAACAGAGTTTAACCTTTTTTTGCAGTCATTGATTGACAGTTTAGTTTGTTGTGATTGTTTGTTTTTGGTAGTTTTTGCCTGATTTTGCGCAAATTATCCGTGTATAGTATAGTAAATTACAAGTTTGAATTGGATCTGGTGGTGTTTTGTATGTTCTGTTTTTGTATTTGGTTATTTATTTTTGGTTTTTTTATTCGTTCTTGTAAACACCAAAACATGCAGTTTTTCGCACCAAACACAACAATTATTTGAAAAAAAAAAGAATGTTATCTCAATTCTATACATTGAAAACTTACAAAACGGTTTTGTGTGACTTTTATATTCATTTGCGCAACTGAGAACACGACAATTGAATCATAATTGATTTGGTTGGGTTTCATTTCATATTCAATTTCACATTTCTATGGAAATCATTTCATTTTCTTTCATTTTGTTTTTTTTTCTCGAATAAAACCCATACATCCTGAGTCAAAGTCGGAATGAATTCGGCAAGTGCAAGTACGGGAGATTGATTGAATAAAAATTAATTTAAAAAAATTTCTTAATAAAAAACATTTAGTTGTGTTATTTAATTTTTGTGTTCACTAATTTAACAACAAATAAAAAGAAGTAGACAAACAAGAATTTAAATATGTGAAGAGAGATGGTAATTAGTGTCAAAGGTCCAGGTCGATTTAACAAAAACTATCACACTATAAAATTACATGAGCATCGTTAGAAACAAATTATGTGTGTTGGACAAATAGAAGAGTTTTATTTTCTTAAGTAGAAATATAGTGGATATTTTAACGGAACAAAGAAGTCTAGCACAATACAGAAAGAAAAAAACTTATGGTGGAACAATTTTATTTGTGAGTGGAAGTATCCGCAGGTTAAGTAAATTGGTTTTGTGTGCGGTGGTATTTAGAACAAAGAAAAAAAAATAAGAGATAAACAATACTGAATTCTGGGCAGGCAGTAGTAAGGGTGAGTAAAGATAGAGTACATAGCCTTCGTATCAAGCCTTAAAATCTATTGCTATTCTTCTTTTTTTCTTTTGAAATCGGAACCTTCTTTTTTGTAAAGAGATCGCATGTGTTCTGAGCTCTCAAAATTTAAAAATGATGGAGAACGAAAAAAAAATAAATGTTTGGCTTTGTTTTTTTTATGCTTTGTAAGGGGTAGGTTGGGAAAAGGAGTAAGAAGATAGAGTTAAACTACAAAATTTGAAATTTTTTTATTTACCTCCTTGATCGTCGAGTGCAACCAATGTACGGATTCCAGCTTCTTTGCCCTAAAAGAAAATGAAATTCAAATGAATCTTCTGGCCAAAAAACGCGCACATTTAAATTTCAAATCGATTCAAAGATTAAACTTACCTCTTCGCAAAGAGCCAACATTCGCCGAGTACTCTCCAATGACTTCGTGTTGAACGCATTCGCAACAAGGGGATAAATTTGTTAATTTCAATAATTGGATTTGGAAATGATAATGAGTTCGAGAAGGCCCCCGACAATACTCACATCATCTGTAACTTGATTTGCTCTAATTTGCAATTCTTCGTGCTCTGTTCGTGGCGGTCCAGCCACTTCGGCTTGTGGAGGTGCTGCTGAAGGCATTTCTGTGAAAACAAATGTAAAAGAATTGTTTTAAAGATTTTTTTCTTCTATAGAGAAACTCGTCAGCTTTGTGAATATCGATGGTGATGCTGAAACAAAACTTCGCCTACTACTAATTGCGCAATATGTTCATGTATATTGAAGCTGGAATAACCATTTCATTTGAGGCTCTGCACGTTTTGATTATTTACTGACGTATTTTGCTCTTGAAAATTGGTGTGCAATGCCAACCGAAACTGCCTCAAATATAGCAGTAGCAGCAGCACCACCACCACCACATACACATTCGATAATGTTTCCGTTCTATGTGCAAAATATAGCAAAGCCTTGACGCTTCACTGTCGCTACATTCACCACACAATAATTTTCTATTTCTATTCTTATTGCATTTGGTGGGCTGCGTTAGGCAAATGGCCTTTCGCTGTTTGCTGTTTGTCATTGGTCGATAATGTCGAAAATTAATAATTTTCCTTCTTACTGTGTATCAGACTGTGAACGAACAGCAATTAATTGTGGAGTATTTCGGTGCCAATGACGGGGATTCAGACGACAAACGACGTCAAATTGATTGGAGACGTTCTACATGGGATTTTATTTGATTCCAGTACGAAACGAAGAGAGTGTTGATGAAAGGCAAGCGAGAGAGAGAGAGAGAGAAAGAGAGAGAGAGAGATGAATAGAAAAACGTCACTCGTCGTCGTCGTTGTTGTTCGTTTCAATATCAAAGCTATATAGCGGGAGACAGAGTGAAAATCTCGAGAAAATGTATATGCTTAGCACTGAAGCTAAGCAAATAAACGCAGCAGCGTCTTTGTGAGAATTCAAATGGCTTTAATAATGAAAAAATAGCTGCTGCTATACGTAATAATAATATGAAAATCATTTGGCGACTAAAAGTGTAATATAGTCTCTATGAAATATTGCATACTTTCATGTGATTATGTGGAGTAGCACTTCAATAGCGCCGTTTTTTTAATGGGTCCATGTTCTTATCTCGGGCTTTTCACACATATATTGTGCTCGCTTGCAATTGAAAAATAGCAACAACAACAAATGACTTCAATCGAGAAGCAAAAGACAAAAAAAAATAACTAATATAAATTTCCAAGTTTACAAGTTTAAAGCATAGACATACGGCAATGAGAGCGAGAGAAAATTTATTTGGTATGTGTTGCTAAACAACATACAAATACGATGCCAAATATGTACGATGCAAGTACGTGTGTCTCTTATGTAAGCATTCTTCAGCGTACAAGGATAAAATTGTTTTTCCTGCACGAAACAACCAACGACACGCACAAATACTGGCATAGCCAAGTTTCGACGGCAAAACATTACTACGCAAAGCGCACCGCTCTCACACATGCAGTAACACAATGGCAGCAGCAGCAGCAGTGGCAGCAATGGTAACAGCAGTGCTTTTGGCAGCACATTTTATATGTAGCGAACGATGTTTTCCCTTCACAGTTTATTTTTTATGTGTTCTGGCTGCGAAGAGACACAAGCTATGTGCCGCAATACATACGACCGTAAAAACCAACACGCAGACAAAGCGATTCGATGAACACAACACACCGTCACGAGAATAAATGAAATAGTTGGTGGCTGTGTGGATGTGTGGATGTGTTTGTATTACTTCGAATTCTCGTATATGACCCTGAAATAAAAGTTCCGCCAACCACCAAAATTTCTTGATGAAATTTATGTTTGATATATCTATGCAATTATATGCGAATAGGAAGGAAACCTTCTCTTCATCATATGACAGGCAAGAGGAACAAAAAAAACTGAGAACAGCGAACGACATTTTTCGCAAACTCAATAACATGACACTATCCATTGCGTTACAATTGCTACTCATTTTTTCCCTTCTTCTTCTTCTTCTTTATTTTCATTTTCAATATAAAATGTTATAATGAAATGTGTGATGAATTGTGCATTTGCTACTTTTCAATGGCAACATTCTTTCTCTCCAAAAAATATCACACTGATTCAGAAAAAAACGGAAAGAAAACAGCCATTTAATAGCTCCCAAAACTGCATGAGATATTTTCAAATGGTTCAATTTTATTCCTACGAAATGGTTACCTGTTTTTTGTTGTGTGTGTGTTTTTATATGTTGTAATCGATTGCGTCTCTGTTTTAAATTATAATATTCAACGAATTTATTTGCTTTTTAGTGTGTTAAGTTCGGTTTGTATGTTTTATTTTTCTTTAAAATTAGTTTATTGGTTTGATTGAATCACAGATTTTGATAGCACTTTAAAGGGAACAAATTTTTTTTTGTGTTCACATTAAAACGCTGCCACTTTGCTAAGCCCAATGAATTTGGTGTTCTCTTCCAGTGAGGTTTTTTTTTCTCTCACTCGTTCCGCGGAAAAAAGGTGGAGTTGTGTTGTATGTGTATCGACCAAGTTATGGAAAATGTTTCAACTAAATTTCATTCCAATGAAAAACAACACAAACACATTCAGTCCTTGCACGTATACGGGCTACTTTTGCTCATCCACCACATCACATCGGTTCGGCTGATTGAAACGAGCTTTTTTATCCACTTTTGGAATATTCATGAAGGATTTTGGATTTTCACTCAACCCACACACATTTATAAAGTCATTCATCAACATTTCCAATCGTCGAAGTTGGAGGGCCAATTCCACTCACAAGAAAGTGGAAAATTCGACGAAGCTTTTTACTGCGCAAGCGTTTACATAATTTTTTTTATCCGTGTGGGGATTTTGATATATTAGCAGCATTACGCGGACGAAAGTGATTTATTCAATTTCCAGTTCCGAAACTAGTTACTACCCCTTTTGTTCATACAAATGATGTGTCTGTTGGATAGTAGTGCGAGATTCTGTATGCTAGTCATATTAGTCATAGTTTCTCATTCAACGCCTCTAACTCCTTTGTGTCTGATAACTTTAAATGTATTACCATATAATCGGGATGGAAGAAAAAACAAATGTAAACTTTGTCGTAACATTACTACTATATGTGCTACACGGAGATGTTCCAACCGATTTTTGTTTCCACCGCTGAACCGCTAATGTGAACACAACATTAAACTCTTTGTCCGCATTCTATATACACATGCGTTGACATAACCTCAATTCCAATTTGAAATTTAAACCCATTTCCAGTTAGAAAGTAAACAAGTTTATTCTGATCATTCGAAACGGAACAATATTGGACATTGAGTTATAGTCTACTTACAATACTATTTGATTTAAATTCGGAAATTTGAAGAGTAAAATACTGTAAACTAAAAATATGGTTATTGATCAATTTGAATGCTAAACGGATTTTTTTTCTCATTAGAATTGATAGGAAAAATATGGAGCACGGTCAAAATACCGTAAAATATTTTCATCGATGCACGAAGAGATATCGATATAAAACGTTATCTTAATTGTAAAATAGACACATTTCAAAAATTTGTACTGCGAAAAAGGATAGCAGCGAATGGAAATAATTAATATCGTATTCATGATTGGAAATGTGAGTTAAGTTTCCTTCGTAGCTGGCACAGTAACAATTTCGTAACTGCCACTGGCACTGGCATTCGCTGCATTCTCCTGTGGGTTTATTGGCGGTACAATCAAGTCCTTTTGACTCATGTGATCCACTATGCCAGCACCCAAGCAATCTCCAAGAACATTTACCACGGTTCGAACACGATCCCTGAATGTAATGCAATTAGAAGGTATAAAGATGATTATTATTTGAAAGAATAAGACCATTATTCGAAACAATGAGAGACAAATTGAAAATCTCAAGAAGAATAAAAAGAGATACAGAAAGAAGATGCATCATGTACTTACAAAATCCAGTCGACAGCCAAAATAAGAGAAACATCCTCTGGAGGAAGACCAACAGCATCAAGAACCATAACCAAAGTAACTAAGCCTGCTTGAGGGATTCCCGCCGCTCCTATTGCCGCTGCAGTCGATGTGATACTGCGAAAATACATTTTCTTTTATAAATATTTTGTTTGTTTTTTTAATGCAAAAAGAAGACTAAAAATGGTTTCAACGGAAAACAATTATTTCAATGAAAATATTAAAAACTCAATAGAATCAGCAAGACAATCACCTAACAGCGACCACTTTTCCGAATGATAATTCAATTCCACGTAATTGAGCGATAAAAATAGCAGCAACAGCTTCGTACAATGCAGTACCATCCATATTAATGGTAGCACCAATCGGTAACATAAAGCGTGAGATTTGCGGATTTACTTTATTCCTCTCTTCGATGCATTGAATTGTCATGGGCAACGTGGCCGAGCTGAAAGGAGACAAAAAATCAACCGTTATTCAACAGGAGAAGATGAGCTATCGATGAAAATCAAGTGAATACTCGGCAATCCGAATTTCTTCGCGAAAAAAATATTGGCTTATGGATCTAAATCGGTTTCAAGTGGCAATTTATTACCTTGATCCCGTTCCAAAGGCTGTAACAATGGCCGGTCCCATACCCATGATGAACGTATATGGATTTTTTCGTGTGAATGCATAGTAAATAATGGGGAGAATAACAAAACCATGAAAAACAATACCGCCGATAACAGTGATCAAATATAAACCCAATTTTCCCGCAACAACATTCAAATCATCCATTTCAGCCACTTGTGACACGGTCAAAAAGAATATGCCAATCGGTGAAACAAAAATGACCCACGACGTTATTTTCATCATCAATGCGCTCACTTCAGTCACGATTCCTAATACAGTGTTCACACTGCCATGCAATGTGCTCATCGCAATTCCAAATACACAAGCGCTAACCACCAAACCAATTATGTTCATCCCATTGCCGTATGTATGGCCAATGTTCCATTCGTCAATGTTATCTGCGATGTATGGCAAGAGAACAAATGAATTAATTAAATCGTGAAATTGAATTTCAAACACCACTCACCATTGCTAGCGTTGGCACTGGGTGGCTTTAGAACGGTTTGATATTGTTCGATACAGGCTTGAATGATGTTTGGTGGAAACATGTTGCGTACCTAATGGATAAAATCCACATTTTATTAAAAAAAAAAAAAACAGACAAAAGAAAAAAAAAGTTGTTTACCAAATCAAGCATTGCATCGGTCGTTGTTATGGTGCGCAATTGGCTGCTGGTAGTGTGTACCGACTCCGTTGAATTCTTTTTGTGACGATCGATGCCAGGACGAACGGTCAACACAAGAATAATTCCCAAAATGACCGCCATAAATGTGGTTATCAAATAGTATGTTATGGCACGTCCGCCAATTCTGCCCGTTGCTTTGAAGTTCAGCGTTCCGATTGCCGCAATTAATGATGATATCACCAGTGGCAATATCAAACCTTTTAACATGCGCAAAAACAGCTCGCCCAAAAAATTAAAGTACATAATTTCGCGCGATGACCATTTTGATGAGGATGATGCACGCAAAATCAGACCGAAAATCACACCAAGCACAACGCCAGCCAACGTTGAAATGGTCAGCAGTTGTTCGGAGAAAAATTTCATTAATCTCTCCTTCTTGATTTTCATCTTTTCGGCCGCGTTGTTAACACAATTATTTCAACAGTAAAAAAAATAATCCTGCAATGAAAGAAGAATTCTTCGAATTAGCTTAAACAGTGCGTTTAGCATATATACACACGCAGTGGAATGCTCAAATGATTGAGACAAAACGATAATTGCAATAATTGTGCGGTATAAACACATAAATTCTTCGGCATCGTACTGTCGTATTAAGAAGGGACTCATTTTTTATGGGAATTTGCATGAAAATTGGCATAAATCGACCATTGGCATAACAAAAGAATATTTCTCATTTTATGTTGTTTATCAAAATTTGATCGCATTTGTCGTGCGCAAGCAATTTAAAAATAGCACCTTGTTTGGTATGCTGTATAATAATAATGCAAGAAAAAAAACCCAGTGAACGCATTGCAACAATCAGGTATTTAAATCAATTAAGGAATTAATTTGAAATTAAATGAACACGGAATAAAACATTTTTAACACATCAATCACACACTGTTGATTGTTCGAGCGTTTATGCAATGATACAGCAGCATCGATGCACGTTTCATGGTGCAGGTTCACGAGTACGAGAGAAAGATATAATGCAAAAGAACCGAGCTAAGTGAATGATGAATAATTTATTCACTGATTGTCACCGCAATGCAATTCGAACTTGACTGTTGAGAGCGTGCATATGCAAAACGAAAGACAATTTTGAATGCGCGTAACATGTTGATTGGATTGCAATAGCCAACAATTCAAACTGATGCGTCAGTTTTACTCAGAACTGTCAATCATTTTCGCTTAGAAATTTGCGCTAAATGGTCAACGAGTCAACACGAGCATTAGCTTCAATATATTCAACGAAAAATTGCACGATACCTTAATAACCGAATCATTAAGTCATAATCCATTTCCGATTTATTACAAGTTTTACAAAATTCAAAATGGCAAAAATAGCACAAGAAAACACACAAACACATACACACACTTTGCACACGGCATTCTACGTAGCCAGTTATACTTTGTGGAAAATGAATTTTCAAAGCATTGAAGTCGTTCAGTTTGTTGACATTCCGAAATTTTTGCATCAATTCCACTTTTGTCCAAATCTGTTAGCATCGTTTTAATTAATAGCACCAAGTAGAGTTGAGTGCGCATTATGATTCTTCAATACTTTCACTACATGTGTTGCTGCATAGTCAAAATTTCGAATCGAAAATCCCTGTTAACCAACAACAACCAATTATGCCAATCTCATTACAAAATCGATGATGTTTAACATTGGCTCAACACACACTGTACCCATGCATTTTAGGTTGCAAATTGGACCATTTAAATTAAGTGAAAGACAGTCCAACGATGGATTGAAAACAAGATTAAACCAGATTCATTACCGTTAATATGTAAGCAGCGTCACAGCAAAAAAAAAGTAAACTCAACAAGTACAGCAACGAACACTTCGGCTCAGTATAAGACAGCACAGCAAAATTGCGCGAAAGGCGCGCACAAAAATTGACTCAAGACTATAAAATCACAAACAAGAATAAATCAAATGTACGTCGCGTCGCGGCACAGCGAAAGTAAATCAAAACAAAACATTAGAAATGATCAAAATGGAAAAAAAGAACTCAAAAAGCGAAACACACGATTAAAACAAAGCAGTACGCATTTGATGTTGGTTCCGTTGTTTTTTTTTTTCGTCTTGTCTTGTCTCTACTGTGTTTATCTGGTAGAAGTGCTGAAACACAACTGAATCAGCAGGGGAAGTACGAACAACAAGAAAGTCTCTACACTTTTGTTTAGCACACCGCGCACACGAATTTACACACACCGGACAACAGTGCACAAGTGCCGTAGGCTCTCGCATTCGACAGATCGCATTTTTTTTGTATTGTTAGTGCTGTCGTTTTTGTTGTCGTCGAATCGAATGCTCAATTGCTCACACCGAAAACAAGTCAACCGTTTTGCTGAAAAAAATCAACAGCAGTTGAGATTCTATCCACTGGCTTAATTTGAAAATAAAATGGAGGAAAAAAATTCTGTGTAAATGTGAAATAAAAAAAAATGATTGTTTCATTTTTTTGCGCTTTTGTATTGAGATGTGAAGGCATTTAGAATAATTTGTTTAATGTTTCTTTTTGTTTGAAATCCAAAAAAAATGTGTTGGATACATTGGTGGAAAGCCTCTATTGCGAATGTTCAAACTTTTGTTTTCAGTTTTCGGTTTGTTGCTGATGTCACGTTGCAGTGGATTGCAATCTATGTGAAAAATCGTAATTAGCATTCGTTCCGTGGTTTTATTTTCTTTCTGTTTTCAGATGCGACAGCAGGCAATGATGGCGTAGTTAGATTTAGCATGAATTTTCTGAATCCAACGAACCATTCGCCGCTGCTATACAGAGCATTAAACACATATGAATATTTATGCCATAGTTTAATGTTAGTTCGTATGACCATTTCATCGTTTGTGGCCCATCATCGGCATCCAGACAGAAAATCATGATTATAACTTTGAACACATTATATTTCATTCGTTCGTTCATTTGCCCATTCTTTTCATTCACAAAGTTTTCCCTTTGTTTCATTTTTGGTGTTCATTTAGTTGTGAGCCGAATAATGGTAGTACAATTTGCAAAATATGCCGAGTGACCGTCGGGGCGTTTAGATGGCAACGCAAAGAAGAACAAAACAGAACAGCATCGAGAGAGAGAACAAATTAAAAAATAAACAAACCGATTCGCCTGTTTTGTTCTGCCAGTGAATAGGCTGAAATTGAATTTTTTTTCTTAATGCAAACTTATCCATCTCGACGTGCGTGTTCGTCGTCGTAGTCGTACTCATGTACACCTGTGGATCAATGTAGTTGTGGATGACTCGCCGCTTTGTCCAATGTTTCATTAAGTCTCTTATTTTCATACGTGTATATTTCTATAAGTAAATGCGAAAAAAAACAATGTTACATTACAAAACTTGTTTCACGGTATTGCTTCCCTCCTGTCGGTTAATTCATCACATGCCGTGCGCGCAAAACTGCACAATATTCAATTGTATTCACAATCAACTTCTTCGCATTTATTTTTCGTTCGTTTTCTTTAAATTTCGTTTTTTTTCTCTCATGCCACACAACTAAGGATAAGTCGCTGTGTGTCGGCCGATCTCTTCATATCGAGTTGTTTGGGGTTTTCGATTTCGTTTATTTTTCTGCGCATTTTTTTCATTCGCCCATTCAATTTATTGAATCCTATTCGAATATCGATGGTGTGTACTCTTTTTATCCTATGATAAATGGAAATCTACTCGAATATCGCACTTCAAGGTGAATGGAATCGAATTCCAACGGATAGCCATGGATTGAGATTCTTTTACCATTCGCTTCGCAAACATGTAGCGTTTCACGATTGTGTATGTGTTTTTTTTATTACATTAGTAGGAAAGGATAAGGGATAAGGAATAATAAAATGTGCAGTAGATGGTTATGAAGAAAACTTTCCATGCGAAACCAATGCAATTCGTTCAGAAACGTTACTACGTGATCACAGCAACAATTGCGCTTACTTTTTGTATTTGTCTCCTACGTTTTGTAATTTCTCTACTTGGCCTGGCTTTCATGACGTTCGTTATACATGTTTCGGTTGCAAACAGACGATGACATGGGTATTTGTATTACATAGCGCTTTGAACCAGAATTAACTGGATACGACGATGGGTTGAGGTGTGCTTTGCTATGATTGCTATGCATATGTTATTGTTAAGCCATATTAGACTACAAATAATCCGACAATTTACAAAATCGAATGGGCCAGTTGATATCTTCATTATGCGGTGTCTATGACTGAAATAACACATTTGTCTGAAGAACAACACCTTTTTTTTCGTTTCTAAATTAATTGTCAGCAATGCAACAAACCATGAATTTCAGCAAAATCTCCACAAATTGGTTGATATTTATTGTTAGTTGACACCAGTTATCAGTAATTGGCGTATTTTTGGGTGCAACCAAGTGAGAAAATATACACACATAAAATCGTTTAATCGTACACATTGTTACCGCAAAATTGAACATTAAAGTGGCAGCACGAAATTTTTTTGGTCAGGCTTTGACGCGTTCACACTATCGTTTTCATTTAATCGAGCAATTTTCCAAACCTCAATTGTTCCGGCCGAATTGTCACAATGCATTTCATTTTCAAGGTTGCACCAGATAATTGCCTATTCTTACGCGTTGATTCCGCATTCAAACAACATTTGCAAAATTATTCAATAAATCGTATGCTTTATTCTGAACAGAGACAAGATGCAATTTCGATTGGATTATCAGAAGCTTTGTTTTTCTCTCTTTTTTTGCCGACTTAAACGTCCTGAATCCGTTTGCAAACGCTGAAATCCAAACGCATCAAAAAACGTTTGACGCTTTTGTTGTACGATCCAAACTGAAAATAGGAGAAAAAACCAAAATTGGTTGGTCTTAAATATAAAATCCATTTTTATGCATCTATCACACTCGTTTTTTCTCACTCACTTCAATACACGCAATTGACGATATCTATCACCATGGAACAACAATTTTCTGGTGGATTAATCACTTGGGTCCGAAAAACCCGCTTCATTCCTTTCTGTCTTCGATGCAACTAAACTTTCTTCGGCTTTGGTGACAAGGAAACAGAACATTGCATTAAATAATTGAAAAATGTCATCATTTACAATCGTTTAAATTTAGCTCAGTGTTGCAACATACATTTTGAGACTAAATTAACGAAAGATCAATACAAAATAGGAATTTACCCGAATGATTGTTGTTTTCATCAGCTGCTGATCGATTGGCATTCGGAACATTGCGATTACCAATGGGCATGGAAATGCCAGTGAAATTGGGATTCACTTCATTGGCCGCAATATTTCCAGTATGAAATGCGTGCAACACTTATTCAGAATGGGAATAGGCGGCAACCACACTAATTGGAATAAAGTAAAATTACTTGATTGAAGTTTAGAGATTGGCCGGTAGAAAAAGAATGTTTACCTATTATTTGAAATTTCGAAGAATTTCGTCTTGAAATCTTCATCAAAGTGGCGGCCTTCCTCATCGAAACATTTTTTTATGTCGCGCAACGCAGTTGTGACTTCGCTGTAAATCCCATGGAACATATCATCCATTACATCCATGAAATTGTTTGTTGACATTTTTTTTGCTGTGTGCCCACAAGTGTATTCGTCGTCGGTTGGGAAAGAAACAATAAAGTTCAATGTACCGTTAATTTTGTTGGTACCGTTAATTTTGTTAAAAAAAACGATTTTGTCATAATTTTTGGCGTCGTTTTGGAAATGGAATCATTCTTTATTGGTAAACACACATAAAAATTCGGTTGAAGCTGTTAATTTAACCTTCTGTTGTTCTGTGAACTCCGGTTTCTTTGACCTTTCAGATGAATTTTGGATTCTGTATGGTGTTGATTCTGGTGCTATGTGCCAATTTTCTCAAACAATTCTCAATATCGATGAAAAAACAACACAACGATTTTACAATTTGTTTAATACAATAATAATCAATTTAATGAGACAAAATTGTCCATGGTATGAAGTACGAAATTTATTTGCGCGCCAAAAAAATCATTGTACAGAAAGAGGGCGGTTGCGACGGTTTATTTGCAATGTAATATTTGAATATATTGATGACGTGTTTGACTTTGATTTAATCGATTAAATCACCCTCTCGCTCAATCGCAGTCGATTTCGTTTAGTACATCATTTTTAGAATCCATGCGCATTGATTATACGTAAGTTTGAAGATAACAATTAACATTTATTTGCATAAAAATTTACCATTTCTTCAAAAATAAATTGTGTTTCTTTTCCCGGCGTTCAATTAAGATAATAATTACCAACATTTTCTTATACACAGAAATTCAGCTAAAAGTGATGAAAAATGACATTGTAGTGTGCCACTTTAATTCTGAATAAAACTCAAGGCGCTTTATTGTAAACTCGAATTTTATTTCCATTTTATTCTAAAAAAAAGTTCCAAGTGTACTTTGTGAACTTGGGTAGCTCATTGGAAGTTCTACAATTTGAATTGTACAATATTTATAGAAATCTGGAAGATTTACAACAGATACAACAGACTCTACGTTGTGAGACATTCATTTTGGGTTTCCATTTATGGCTAAACACGATGTAGTATTGAAAAAATTTTTTTGGTGAAACGAAAAAAAACCACTTCAAACGATGGTATAAAATGGGCTTTTCTTAATATTTCAAATTTATCTATCTAGCGTGTGATAAGATTTTGTAATTGTTCGCTGATTTCAGCCGAATCGATTTCTGGTTTAGCTTTAGCACTCGCGTCCCCAGCAGACGGGTTTGGTGTGGACACTGGACGAGAACACAATTTTTTGTGGGCGAACCAATGAATACGTTGACATTCTCGATCACAATATTGCACCTGCTTGCATTTTGAACATTTTTTATCAGGTTTCTCTTCGCCACATGTGCTGCAATAGGTGATGTCATCCTTGAAGACAGAAACATTGTTCCGAATTAATGATGTGTTCGAAAAGAAAAACTTGAAGTTTCGTTTGAAAATCAAAAACTCACCACAAACCCTCTCTGTCCATTGATGGCACCACGGATTACATCCAAAGCTGAAAGTGCATCTTTGCTGGTCAATTGAACGAGAACCTGCTTGAAGACGGTCGATTCTCTGAATGGAAATTCGCGTACGCATTCGCGTACAGTTGACTCAACATACTCCAACTGGCCAAGTTTATTCTCCTTTAATACCCGTTTGGCAAACAATTCGACAAAATCTGACTTGCTGGCATCGGCACCCTCCTGTGACTCTTTACGCGTTTGAAAATATTCACGGCACTTGATTATCTCACCAACCATATAGCCCAAGTAGTGGTATTTAAATGCCATGATTTCGTTAATTTCATTACGTTTCTGTACCTCGCGCTCGGTCATGAGTTCAAGCACTTTTTTCACCGTCTTTAAGTGTTCGGACAGTGCACCGAATTTCTGTATATTTAGTGCAATCCGAATCGGATGAACGTTACTTTGAATGACAAACTTGTGCATTGAATCGAGCAAAATGACTGGCAATACCGGTTCGGTCTGTTGACCACGAACCTGTGTGAAATATTCGATTTCCGATTTTGGTATGTAATTATTGATGCATGCCACAACGGCATGATTTCCAACAAAGGCTGCCATTTGTGCTGGTGTACGATTCACTGAGTTTTGTGCATTTGGATTGGCGCCGGCCTGCAAGAGTCTCAGACAAATTTCCGCATTTCCAGACAGTGCTGCAAAATGTAAAGCTGTATAGTTTGCACCATGTTTACTCGAATTCACATCGGATCCCTGGAATACAAACACAAAAAACACGACATGCTCAGGACAATTTCTCTTCCATATGCGACCACATAACCTCAATGCAATGTGTCGATTTTTCGATAAATCGTTTACAACCACGGTTTTTTATTTGTAGCTCACCTGATCCAAAAGTGTTTGTACTAGCTCCGTATTGCCTTTGTAGCATGCATGCTGCAAAGGTGTCATCCCATTTTCGTCAACAAAATCGGCCGTTCCCTGCAATTGAGTCAACAATAATTTCAATTCTCCAACATCATTTTTTGGAATCGTCTCGAATATTTTCTTCTGAACATCGGTCAATTTTTCGGCGTTCACCATTTTCGTGCACAATTTGTTTACGGTTAGCTTAATCAAATTGAATTGGTGTTATTTCCAAAAAGTAAATGCACAATTCGAACAAATAAAATGAATGCAATACGATTTGAAATGGATATCGTGTTGCAGCTACAATAACAAAGTCGCACTAATTGTGGAAAATGTCAAATTGACATCTTGCCATTCAATGTTCTGTTCTCAATGCTCGCATTACTCCATAATACCATAATCTTCTTTTCTCTGCACGTGGTGAATTTGTTCGAACAAAGCATCGACGGGCTGCTGGATGATGACAGCGACATCTATGGTAAACTGAGTGAAAATTGAATTTAAGCGAAAGAAATTCAAATAGGATCTAGGTTCATTTGAACCGACCGTGGTTAAAATTCTTTTCAACTGCGCCAAGTACTTTGGATAGCATGAACATTTGGACATATTTCAAAAATGAAAGTTCTACCAAACATCGATTGCGGTTTATATGAAAAAGTATAACATTTACATTGAACTATAGCAACTCATAGAAAAACACAGGGCCAAAAAATTAACATAAAAACAAACACGTTTCTTAATCCATTTTCCACTTGAAAACATGGCATACCATTTCCATTCATTGATATACAATTAATGTCGGCAATTGCATGTGAAGTGTTTTTTACGTCGTCGTTCATTCATTTGGTATGTGAATTTTCCCAGTTGGTGCTTGTGACTATCATTAATTTCGTTGGTTGAGTATTTGCCGATGAAAAGTTAAATTGGCTATAAACTGCCACCTACTAAGCACATATACGTACGAACGGCAACCACAAAACGGAATCACCAAACAACGAGAAAAGGAGAGAGAGAACAAAGCAAATGGGCATATTTAAATCGGTTTTTGCAGACGAAATTCTGTGTGTGCAAAAAAGCAAAAAAAAACAGATATAGAGAAAGAAGAAAACCAAAGAAAAAAAATATATTTCATTTCCTTTCGGAAGTTGCCCATTGACTCGGATCATCTTTGTAAAAGAACGTGGAAATTGGGAAAACGTAATAGAGGTTGTAATGATTGAAATTACTGAAAAGTGCCTGAATGACGGCGATGAAAATGTTTTAGGATGAACGAAAAAGGAAGGGAATACGAGATAAAGCAACAACAACAATAACAACAACAAAAAAGCGTACATAGCGTTGGAAATGACAACGATTCATTATGTACACACATGCATCGCATTGCGTAGAATGTTTGGAATTCCTTTTGTTGTTGCTGCGTTTTATTTTTCCTTTCATTTGGTCGGCTTCGCCATTTGCCTTATACATGCCATATTTTCACAATCGATTTGTTTATTTTGATATTGGATTCGCTTGTCTGCTTTTGGCCCGAAGGAATGCCGATGCAATTCATTCAAATTTGTTACAAATCATCACTTGAAGCCCCGACAACCAAACCACAGACATACCAAAATACCGAAATCGCATTGAAGTTCACCAAAAATGACATAAAAAAGTGTCTCGATAAAGTTTCATTCCATGAGTTTTTGCGCCTCTTTTTCTTTTGGAGAAGAAAATTTTAATCGACTTTAAATTGAAGTACCAAAAAAAAATCGATTCCTCCTTTCCTTCTTCTTCTTCTTCTGTCGGTTCTGGTAATATTCATTTCGATTTCACTCTCGATTTAAAGTGCATAAGTTGACATTTTCGTATAGAACAGTGTCACCACATCGATTCATTCATCATTTTTTTCTGGGCCTTTTCCTAACGGCTTTTCCATTGCATCATTTATTTTGCGACTGCAACACTATGCTCATGCTCTTTTTGGGTGAGAATCAACGGCATTTTTTCTCTGTTGTTGTTGCTCCGGAATTCGATGCCCTATTGCGTTCTCTTGTGTGTAGTCGGTGACATTTGCTGATTTTTGTTTGGTGTGATTTCTTTTTGTTTAAAACAACATGCATCCATCCATGTGCATTATATTGTTGGCGCCGTTATAACATTTTTGATGTAAGACTATTCACATTTGTGGATTTGTGTTTTCTTCGTAGTCCTGGTTGACTCATATGAACTGAACAGGAGGGCACAGACAAGGCAGCTAGTATGTGTGTGTGTTACTGTTGTCGCCTATTATCGCCGCCTTTCTTGCGTACCACCAAAATCAAAGAACGGAAAAATGCAAGAAATTCCAAAAAGACAAGCCGCAGATAAAGTGTGCATATTTCATTTCATCACTTCGGACCGATTCCGTATTTATTTTTTTGATTCTCTTCACTTTGGAAAATCTTTTTTAGGATGTATGTACTTGTCTGTGGCAATAAAACACCATTCACACACATAAAAAAATTAATGTTAACCGAAAACATTTTGCGATAGATGCACTTTGAAATTCATGGCTCTCGAAGTGAACTTAATAAAGGAAAGAAAAAAGCTGTTTTCGCTGCTACATATGTATACCAAACCTAAATCATTTTTATGACCAATCATTATCAAATTCCTGTTAATCGAGCTTCAAATGCCGTTGAAACAAACAAAGTTTTTTTTAAATATATTTTTAGAGTGTAATCTCCTAGAAGTAGAAGAGTAGAAGAGTTTTTTATTACTCGCTGCAATTTCTGCTAATGAAAAACGAAACGGAGCAAATGCTATTTGTCGGGGGGCAAAACCGAGAATCAAACTACACATGTCTGTTCAATTACTTGATAGCTCATTTTACCACGCGCCATCCTAATCATAACATGCCGACAGCAAATTTCAAGAGATAACCGTTCAAGAGACGGTAGGCAAAGATGAAACAGAAGGAAAAAAGCATAACTCGTTAGCAAATTCAACGGTATGGCAACGCCTGTCAGTTATGAGAGAACTATCATAAAATGTCATAATTCGCCGCTCGAGTACCATTGAAACCAATTTATTGATGTTGCCAGTTGGTTCGGTGCATCAATTTGTCTTTTTCTGTGTGTAGTGAGCGTGCATGATGACGACATGTGCATCGGCAACATTCTTGTCTTATCTAATACAGTTAACTTGCAGCCGTTCATTCCGAAAAGAGTTCGAATCGAATGGGAAAATTTCCATACAACTTACTTTTTCTCTTCAGCATAAGCAAGAATTCAATTCATTGAAATTTTGTGGAACAGAAGCCAGCGCGAGCATCTAATGGCTTAACAATAGCAATAAAAAAAATTACAAAATTCAGTCATTTCTTTCCGAAGAAAACATTTTTTCTTCCTTTAGTTCTGATGGAAACAAATTGTCGCATTAAATTTATTGAGATTGAGATCGCAAGAGGCAAAAGCATCTGTGATGGTGAATAAAACAAAAAAAGAGAAGACACCAAAAGTGATTGAAGTTGATGCGACACCGGCAACATATGAAAAAAGCATTCGACTTTTTTCGGTGTGGTGATCGATGCTCTTATCTCTCAAAACACCCATTTTTCTTTTGCTCTTGATAGCGCGCGGACTTCAAAAAGCAAAGAAGAGAGAGAGAGGAAAAACATCGAACGACAAAACACTCCAAATTGTTTACAACTAATTACACATAGAACACGTTACGCTACCGTTTTTGTGGAAAAACCGATCGCCGCTCTTCTCATTGAATCAATTTTTTGTTTGACGAACCAAAGACAGACCATGAGAACCAATATTTTGTTCTGTGTGTGTTTCAAACGCCGAAAAGGACAGTTTCGATAAAAAATGAAGAAATTAATGTAAATCATTGAATTTTTGACGGTACACGAGCAGACAGCCGTTGACGGCATTGAGATTATATGCACTTTCCATTTGAAGTGGATAATAGCGTAGTCATGTGCATCTTGATTTGCTGCAAGAGACTCGGGGAATGAATGGATGAATGAATGGCAAGGGAACGTGAAATGCAATTAGTTCACAGGCTTTATCATTGGTTGCGATTCGCCGGAGTTCTACATTTAGCAGCATTTTACCCACATCGAAGATTTATCCTGTTCATTTTTTATCTACAGACCTTTTCCTCTTTGTTTTATTTTTAGCTCAGTATCAAATTCAATGTCTCCAAAGGCGCGATATAAAAAAGAAAACGCAAATTGTGAGTAAGTGCAATGGCGGCACACAGTGAAATGCATTTGCTTCAGTGCTTTTATCTTTGTAGAGTGAACGAGAGTTAAGTGGTTAGATATAGAGATGATTGTGGTGGATCGTCGAAGATCACGGGCAAAGATCATTGTGTCTATTTTTTTGTTTCTCATCCCGCTTCTTTGACTACGGCGACGGCGGTGATGACGATGACGACGACGGTGTCGGTTACTTCGATGCTTTATTCATCTTGATTCTAATATTTCTTATAATTGAAAATTACAAGCCATACACACTAATCACTTTATAGAAGTGAAGAGTTGATTTCAACAAGGCGGAGACGATCGCACACACATATTGAATTGAAGCCGAAAGACAAGAGGGAAAAAACAACGACTAGCATTTAAAACGAGAATTTGTTTTTTCTCTCGAATCAAGTTTTTTTTTCATCCTCTTGATTTAGTGTGTTAACGAAGTTTTATAACTTTATTAAATTTTGGCGCCAGGCTTTTTTTTCTTCTTCTCTGTGAGCACTCTGGTACTAGCGTTTTCTCACTTGAGTATCATGTGCTACACTTTTGATCGATTGTTGCACCTTTACGAAAACCTGTTTCTATTCGTCCCAAAAATAGATATAAATTTCGGTTCCTCTGTGTGTTTTTTTGGCAAAATGATGCACCTGCATAGAATAGAAAATATACGACTTGCACACGGTGTGTGCGCACTGCGCATTCGGCTGAATTTTTTTTAGGTACGACACTATTTTATTTTCTTTATCATTTTCGGCAAGTGATAATAATTTTAGTTGTAATTTTGATGTGCGAACCTTTTTTTTTATCGATTTTCTTTGAAAAAAGCCTGGCCATTTGAAAGCCGGCTGTGAGACCTCTTGAAATTGTGAAGCCATTGATATTTTGATATTTAATTTTAGCTTATTTCTTGTGCGAAACAATAGATACTTGTGTGTGCAATTGTTTCAAACAAACAACTGACTATAATTTACGCATAATACAAATCGATGCGCCATTCCTCAGTGTCTGTCTCATGCCCATTATCCCATTCTATTTTGTTGGTTTTCTATTTTAAAATCAATGCCCACTTCAGATGATAACCATTTTCCTCTAGTTTTTTTTTTAAAGAATAAACAAAAGGTTCTTGTGTATTTTTGGGTGAGCAAAGAAGAAATTCTTTTTTTTTATGCAGACAGACTTCTATTAAGTTGTTTAAATGGAACCGAACAGGCGCTGAACTCAACAGCCCATTCAAATGAAAGGCGAGTCGAGTACATGTCATTAATGACACCGACCAAACAATTCACCATGCAAATTTGTGGATAATTTTTAATTTTGTGTGTGTGTGTATGTGTGTGTGTGTGTATGTTCTGAGGTTCATTTGTTTGATACTGTCATACAGAATGGAGTGAAGAAAACAAAAAGCACACACAATGGAGCGTGAGTTTTTCGTTCGGACGACGCATTGTAAATATCGAGATATATTCCAGTGAAATGCCATTGAACGGGATCTAAGCAATTTTCAAGAGGTGATTAAACTAATCAGTTCTAAGATGGGATTTCAATAATACAGAATATGTATGTCAGTTTTCGAGTGGGTATTTGCAGCACCAGGTTTACCATTTTCGACCAAATCTTAACGCTTGAAGTGCATATTTTGTCTCATAATTCGGATAATTTTTTTGTTATTTCTCAAGTAGCACCGCAAAAACAATAACAAACAAAATTATCGAAGTAGACACCGAAAAAAAGCCTACATAAAAGAAGTAGAATAGAACATGGATGGAACAGAGCGGGAGGGAGAGAGGCATAGATAGGGCGATAGAGTCATAAACAAAGGTGGGCATGTAATCAAAACGAGGAGTGAGCATAGAAGAACGTTTCGAGTGCATTAGTGAGTGTCGCTGTCGGTCATTGTGACAATGCACTAATATGCATCACACACAGTCGAAAAACTTACGCAGAAGATCTACGACCTCTGATATACACACAATTTTTTTTTATGATACTTTGTGCGGTCTACTTTGTGCCCGGCCAAACAATGTACACGAGAAACAAATGTGAATAAGTTTAATTTAAAATAATTAGGTTTTACAATTGAAGGACTCTTACAATTACAATGGATCAATGGTACAAGTAACAATGGAATGTGTGCCCATTTGACGACATCTCTTCAGACCATCGAACGAAGAGCGACAAAAGAATCAGGCCAACACTTTAGAAAAATAAATATAAACATAATGAAATAATCTCAAGTACTTGATCTGTGTGTCGTCGTCATCGTCGTCTTTTTTTCCCATTTGGACAATACGTTTTGAGTTCTGTAGAGCAAAAGTACTCATTGTCATAATTGCGATCAGTGATTTCACATTTCGAGTACAAACCTTTCAAGCGACTGGCTTAGTGATACCAATACCGATGTCTTTTCATACATAATATTAGATTAACTGAAGCACATTTCATTCAGGCTGGGCCAACAATTCAAAAAGATCGAATGGCATCAGTTTCAAGTATGCCTATTGGCATTTTTTTTATAAGTATCCATTTCTTTATATGTCACCAATTCAACTTTCTCTATCTTTTCTTTTCTTTGCTTTGCTTTGCTTTGATTTTTTTGTTTGCTCTATGTTTTTCCCTTGCTATTTTCTTTCTTTTGCATTATTTTGACACAACAAACGCCGATGATATTATTACGATTGTCATTACATGAGCGCACTGCTCTCTGATCATCCAACTCCAGAGACTCAGCCTCCAGATTGAAGATGCTACTACAAAAGCACATGGGCACAAATGATCTCTTAGCATCTTCGCCAATTGTTTGCGAGCTGAAAAACCAATTTCATCAATTGACAATCAATAGATTTCCCAATAAATCAGTGGCGAAGTAAAAGAAATGGCAACAATAACGAATGAATGGGATTCCAGTGATAATGGTCATGTAACCGAATATTTATTTAGATTCAATTAGCTGACGATTGTGCAAATAAAGTGGATTTTATTTGTTAAATTGAATTCAAATCTCATGTTTCATTTGAAACCAGCCATTCTTCTAGTTTAGTTGTGTCAAAGAAGGTGTTTTCTTCTTCTTCGTTCTCCAAAAATGAGGATTATGATCGATATCAACAATGAAGATACAATTTCATGCGTATCTGCGTTAATTGGTTGGTTCCGAATGGATAGGATGCTAGTGTGTCTGTTGGCACATATTTTTTTTCAAAGTGTCCGTGTAATCATCGCCATTGGGCAAATGTGTACAGCATTTGTTTGGCGCATCAAAATAAAAACGTATAGATTTTCATGGCGAAAAGTGGGATATAATTTGTATTTACACAAAAGTAAAATGTAATTTACTCCCATCCACTCTCTCTCTCTCTCTCTCTCTCTCTCTCTCTCTCTCTCTCTCTCTCTCTCTCTCTCTCTCTCTCTCTCTCTCTCTCTCTCTCTGTCTCTCTCTCTCTCTCTCTCTCTCTCTCTCTCTCTCTCTCTGTGTGTGTGTGTGTGTGTGTCGGTTATCTTATGCTCGTGCAGACAATTGAAATGAATTCGGCAGTAATTATTTATATAAATGACTAATGGTCTCAGCATCTGTTCTGCTCTGAATTCTATTGACTGTGCGCACACAGCACAAATACACACAAATACATTAAAAAAGAAGAAGAAGAAGCAGACAGCGACGAAAAATTACAATAAAATGGCATTTAATAAACATTCTTTGAACGTTTGATGAAATTTTATTTTTAGGCCATTGTCTTGGCGTTGGGTCGAGTTTCATCGTCATGATCGAATGAAGATTGGGAGTGTGTGAGTGTGAGAGAGAAATGGCAATAGAGACAGAAATAGAAACAGAAACAGAAACAAAGAGAAAGAGTAGAGGAGGAATGAAGAGAGAAAGGGGACTGATGAGAAGGCGATCAAATTAAATGCGTACGCGCAACGCAAAAATAGCACCAGCCCAGAATATATATGAAGGTGAAGGAAAGCTCAATGATTTCAATTTAGTTCAACTTTGTGGCACATAATAAAAAGAATCAATTTGATGTAACAAATGCGCAAAGGGAATGATGGAAACAATAAAGAAAAACAAACGCAGAGTGTGTACTGGCAAATGGTCTACATGATCAATGATGCGAGAATAGTGCGTGCCGGCCACTCGTCATATTTTCACGAATTCCCCGACAAAACGAACAACATACTGCTGTGAACCCGAAAAAAAACCAAGCGCTAGCTCTCGATACGGGAGAATCGAGCGCTGGGTCGAGAGATTAGCGAGCAACGTGATGATGAGAGGAGAGTAAAATAGCAAAACCACTCTCAAAATGAACATCCAATGAACGGAACAACAAAGCAAACAAAATGCTACAACAAAAAGAGAGAGAGAGAAGAGATTGAAACAAACGCAAGGAACACGCTGTGGGCAAATACGAATCCGAAAACCATTAATCAATATCATTTTTCCAACAAGCTAATTTATAAAACAAACGTTGTAATATTTATGTGAATTTTGGTAATATAGCATAAAATGCGATCATGGTCGGTGTGCGTCGTCGTCGTTGCCGTCGCCGTCGTTGTTGCTGCTGCTGCTGTCGACGCCGGCGATTTGTTCAGGTCAAATAAAATGGTGCGGTGCACAAATTGAAGTGCACACCAAAATGGGACGGATGTATCATTTATTCTGTAATGTTGAATGGGAGTCGTCGAATGCTGTCTCGGTTTTTCGATCGCAACCACCATTGACGCTTATTTCTCCCAGGCCGCGCGCAAAATAACAGCCAGTAGATGTGTTAAATACACATCTCACGATGAACGACGCAACATTCCACCACAGCGTAAAAATCATCATCGGACAAATTATGGCCGATCGAGTAAATGGATTGAGCACCAGCAAAGAGTCACGCGTATGTTTTTTTTATATATTTGACGATGCCAGCAACAGCATATTACATAGACCATCAATCTTTCTAGTCTCGACACACAACTATCCTATTTTAGATATTTGTTTAAGTAAGTTGGTTCCTTCCCAAAGTGGTCATTTTCAACTCTCCCCTCCTCTCTCTCTCTCTCTCTCGATCTATCGTCGAAATAGAAAACATGCAGGTAACATGAAATTTTTTTCCACTCTCTCTGTCTTCCTCTACTTCGGCCAATTTATAACATGTGCTAAAGCTACATATAATTATTATAGTTGAAAAAAATTCTTCATATTCATCGATAATTGTAGTTGTTTTTTCTTCTAGAAAGCCGTGTGCTGTTGATTGTTGCCATATGAGGGTGAGGCACTGTGCACATTCCATTTCTCAATTTCAGTCGGCTTTTATTCTATCTCGATCATTTCAGTTCCATCATTCTACATCTCAAATTTTTGGGTCATTTTCCTCGGTTCTATTTCGACCGTTTTACGCATATTTACCGAAAACAAACTGTTCCATTTTGTTCTTTGCTTTCGAAAAGGGTAGAAAGGCTTGCGCGATAAAAGCGCAAACCAGCTGTCATGAACACCGAAAACAAACAAACAAGCCCAGGAAAGAAATCCCTTCGATAAATCATCCAAATGCAACTGCACCGTAAATAACTGATGCTTAACGAAATTATTATCAGCATTCCTCCAGCTGGAAATGTTGAAAAAGGAACAAAAACAAATGAAATGAAACCGCCCCACAAATACAAAATGATCGATTCGACTTCATTCTGCGATGGAGTCACACGAATCCAATTGAATAAAAGATGAACCAATGTGGAATTTTATCACAATAAAAACTTGTTTGATTAAATCTTTTGCGCGTCATTAAATTCATATTTTTTTCGCTCTTTCTCTCTCTCTTCGTCCCATTTCGTTCGAGTGTCTGAGAACAAAAACAACCAGTCGTACATTTTGCAAGAGCTCGATCAAATTCCACTTGATTTTCATGAAGTCGCAATTATTATAAGTCAAAAATTAAATCTGAAAGAGGAAAAAAAACTGAGTTTAAATTGAAAATGATTCGATATTAGTTATAATTATGTGGTTTTTTTTTATTAATCAGTATTGATATCATGTCTTTGGATACAGTCTTTTTAAAAATGTACGTATAAAAATAGAATTCTTCAATATAAGTCTAACGTTATTTATTCAATGAATTATTTACAGGCTAAAACAATACGTGCTACATAAAGTTAATCTCAATTGATACATTGGTAAATGGTTTATAATTTGCGATTTATTTGAAGCACACGATCGCAATTTCATTGGCGTGATGTGAACACCGCCTTTTTTTCTACAATTTATTCGTTCCAATCACCAACGAATGTATTCCCGAAGTGAAAAGTTGCGAAAAAAAAGATCGTTCACGCTTTTTCTTTCTATTTTCTCGAAATGATTAATTGCACTTTGAAACAAAGTTAATGAGTTCGCAATATCAACGTTTAAACAGAACATTGTTTTTGTTAACTTAGGCATTAAAAAAAATAATTTGTGAAAATTTTTAAATCAAAACTGAGCGAAAAAAAATACTTAATCGAAAGATTGTTTGTTTGTAGACAAAAAAAGGTATAAAAATCAAATATATTTAAAAAAAAATCGAACTAACCAAGTTAAAAACATATATTTATAATCCAGTAAAGAGAAACTAACACTACAAGTTCAGTCGGTTGAGATTGGAAATGTGAGACGTGAAATGGTGTTTAGCTTTCGCAGCCTAAAATAGCTGAAATGGAAAAGCCGGTTTTCTTCGGTGGGCTGGCTGCCATCGATTTCTTTGGTGCGTCCAAAATCGCTGGCACCATTGATGTTGAGTACTCGGGCGGCGATGGCATTTGTTTGTAGGATCGTGCCAAATCGATAGGTGATGGCATAAATGGTGGTGTTTGTTTGAATGAATCGTAATTTGCTTGTAACGGTGGATAGAACAATGGCTGTTGCGGTGGATAGCTTCCGTTGGCTTGAATATAGCGCAGTGTCATTAAATCAATCCATTCGGATGATGGATGACGTCCAACGGTGGTCGGCAAACTGTGGCCATGGTTCGTTTCGTATGGTTTCAATGGTGCATAATCATCGGATTCATCATAAGTAGCCGGATTGTATTCATGTGCCGATGTTGCGGGCGAGCAGGTTCCGCTGAGTGACGATGAAGAAATCTCATCGCCCACCGAGTTGCCGCTTTCATCAGCCGACGTCGTCGACTCCGATAAACTGTTTGATCGTTTACGACCAATTTTGCTCTCTTTCATTGTATTCTTGTATTCAAAGAGTTCGCTTGTTCGAAGCTTTTTGTCGCTACTTCCTTCCATTGATTCGTTTGGTTTTGATGTGAGTTTCCGCTTTATTCTCGACTGGCCTGACTCACGGAAACCCTTGGCAAATGGATTGTTGTCGATCTTTAATTTTGTGATTCGATCATTCTAGAAAAGGAACAAGCAAGGGAAAAAAGATGATTAGTAAAGTGTGATACCCGATTCAGTTCTCTCTCTCTCTCTCTCTCTCTCTCTCTCTCTCTCTCTCTCTCTGTGTGTGTGTGTGTGTGTGTGTGTGTGTATTTGTTTAGCCAGATATCTCATTTCAATTTGGAGCCATTTGACAATCACATAATCTCTTATCGTTGCATGATCTATACAGCGTGCCTTGCTAAATATATGTCTCGTTTAAATTACGCGCGCAGTCTGCAAGATGCGTACGGCATTTTGGCTTTGTGTAAATGATATTCTGCGATTACCACAAGCCGAAAAAAAAGAACGAGAAAGAGAGCGCACAAAACTGCACTGCTCCAGATTGGCACAATAAAAACAAAGGACAATATTTTGCCGAGCCACGACCGAACAAAATGTTCAGCCATGTATCTATAACTCAAAGAGAATTCGACCATCGATGCCGACAAACCATTAAAACTAAAACATTCTATACACCAGACTTATAATGGAGATAACATAGACAAAAAAGAGAAATACATGCTCTCTTCGCCAACCACTCAAAGCCATTCATTCAAATCGGCAACAAACAGGCAAGAATGGGAGAGAGAGGAAAAGAGAGAGAGAGAGAGAGAGAGAGAGAGAAGACAACCGCACCGAAAACAATCACTAATCTGGCCGAATAATCTGGTGCCTACTTAAATATGTTTTTATTAAAATCTCAACAAGCATGCAAGTGCCGCTCATTCTCTTTCTTTTGCTCTCTCATTTAACGTACGTGTGTACGGCATTGTACAGTTTTGTTCAGTGCGGTTGTGTGTGTGTGTATGTCTAAGACACTGTGCGCTTATATGAGAGTTCATGCCGAATATGGAGATTATCTTGAAAAAGCGGTCCCTTTATTTCGAGCTCTTAGGGCTGAATCAAAAGCCAAATGATTAACAATAACAAAAACCACTGGATCAACTCACAAAGAGTGGGAAAACGAATAAAGAGAATGCATCGAGAGGGAGAGTGTGTATATAAGACTCGGATTCCGATAGGTTGGCTACCGATCGCTGCATGTAATTGTCACATAAATGTGCTACTGCACCTTTTTACTTGCAGTCGACTTGATTTTGCGCAAAAAAGGAAAATCGAGATTAAAATCATGTCTGTCTGGCCGGGGCTAGAGCAGAATTCTAATCGGCTACCAAAAAAAAATTTCGGCGATCGATTGATCACACCGACGAACTGATTGCCGTGAAAATTTGCTGGATTATTTCTGTTTTTTTTTTCTCGTTCGAGGAGATTAAATGCATTCGCAACACAGTATGCAATGTTAAAGCTGCCAAACGTTAAAATGAGTTTTGTCCTAATTTTCCAAACCAAAAAAAAAAATACAAAGAAGAAGAAACAACGCCCAAATGAGTGCCGAATACAACAGACAGAGGCGACGCGCAGCCATAAACACGAAAAATGCAAAACATTTCACACAGGCAACTTGTTGCCAGAGAAAAAAGAGAGAGATAAAAAAGTAGAGAGGGCAAGAGAGAAAATGTTGCGCAAAGGTGTGAAGTGAAAATATTCAGGCCTCGTTTGAAAATGCACGAGACATGAGTGTGTTTACAAGGATCGCAGAGCGCAAATGATATATTATTATGTAATTACTACAATATTCATAAAAGTTTTTAACATGTTATTTGGAATGGGAACGCGTTGCATCTGATTATGTATTCCATTCCACCCATTCGACGAAGAGCAAAAGGGAAGAAAATGGGAGAAAAAACGACGAGGAACATGTCATAAATTCCGGCCTAAATCATGTAAATCATAAAACAAATCTTTGCCTTAACAAGTTATCGAAAATCCAAAACCAAAGAAAATCAGAAACACTGAAGAGATGGAAATAAAAATAAAAACAGAAATAAATGGGAAGAGTGAGGATTGCATCGATGATGTATGTGATGAATTATGGCTCTTTGAATGTGAGGCAAAATGGCACACATACGCACACACGAAAAAAAGGGCAACAAATAAACAACAACAACAACAACAACAAAAACATGTATAAATGAAATAGATTCTTACTTGATAAGCTGTGACGGCAACGAATTCGGTTTCAGGAAATGTGAACGATTGTTGTGGCGCCCATGGGATCTGTGACGGTTCGGATGTGCGAATGATATGCAATCTTGGCTGATATTTGTGCATACTCGTCAAAACCATCTGGATAGAGAGAGGGAGAGAATAGAACAAACAAAATCGACATAAGTATAATGTGAAGTTTTTTTTTCATTTTTCGTTTCGGTATTGAATAACGACTGCAACGAACAAACAAACACACATGCCCAACACATTTGACTTTGTGTGGAAACATTTATTTAGGTAACCGGTGCACAATCGGATGAAAGCGACCGAACTAGAAATGGCAAATCAAATCTCTGGTTTCGATCTCGACCTCAATACATAGGCCGAGTGCTTTCTATTGTGTTTGATTTTGGTGTGTGTGTGTTTTTTTGCATTGCTCTGATCGCATCGCATCGGAATATTGAGTTTTATAAATGAAATGAAATGAAATGGTATGCTTACATGTCCCTGGCTATCCAATGTGTTGTTTGTCAATTTGACCTTGTTGAAAATGACTGGCTGTGCTTGCCAGTGTGATCCCAATGCTGGACTGTCTGGATGAATGTACATGCGTTGTGCACTTTGCGGTTCAGCACCGCCAGCCGGTACCCATTGGCTGCCCGAAAATTTGAATCGACAATCGCTGACCGGTGCCATCTCAAGCACAACACAGTAGTGAGCATCTTTGTCCAATCCCGACAATGCAACACGCAACGATGGAAACATTCGGCTGCAATTAAAATGAAAACGAAAAAAAAACCAATAAAACATTGTATGATTAGCGTCAATTCCATTAGCTTCCCAAATCATTGGGCGTTTGATGCACATGGCATAATGGTGAAATTCCATTTCATAAAAATGATATCCAAACATATTGAACATAGTTATTAGTGCTTTTTAAAAAACAAACAATCATTCCGAAACACACACATCCGAGAAAAAAAACGGAAAATTTTGAACTGACCAAAGGAAAAAACTACAAGAGATAGAGAGAACAGAATTGACTGGTCGCATTTTATGTTGAGTGCTGTATTCTATTGCAATCATGTAATGTGTGCTTGAAAATGCACGAGGCGCCTTAAACTGTATTTAAGTGTGGACCGGAAAAGGCGCCTCATAGTCATTACAACTGTCGACAAGTGATTATTATTCAGATGGGTTACAGCATATTTCATGTTCTTAACAGGCCATGTAAAACACACACGAACGAAGAGTGGCTATGATGTAGGAGATGAACAAGCAAAAGGACACAGACGAACAAGCATGGCGAATCAGCTTGAAATGTGTCCAATGCATGAGAATCAATAATATTTTTTCGGAGTCAAGTTGTCCCATTGAACATTGTTCGATTTCATTGAAGGAGACGCAGAAAACAAACAGAAAGAAAATGTTCAGGAACCATTGAGAAAATGGAAGTACGCAACATTACCTTGCTAATTGTACTATCAGCCGTCATCAGTTAATGATTGGTTTGCCTTTCGGCAGCCAAAAGGAAGGAAGAAGGAACGAAGCAAACAAAAAAATTGCAATGATCTTTGCTGATTTTCTTTCAGTCATGAATGGCAAAATCAGGAACTCCGATCTATTTTTACTACGATAGTTGCCAAATAAAACGGAGACGACGACGACGACGTTGCAGACAACGTCATTAATCATTTGTACTCATTCATTATTTGCTTTTGGAAAAATGCATTTCAAAATAAAGGAAGTATACGTGTGTTGATTATTTGATAATTATTTTGGGATCCCACCCCGATGCCCATGATTCATGTTTTTGGCATTTTTCTTTCCATCCACACCGTAGGATCGTTGAATCAACTTAATAATAGATTTCGACTCTTAAAGTGGCCCATTTTTCGGGTCAATAATTAAAGTTTTGAGTGTATGTCTGGAAAAATTGTTGGAAAGGAAGAAACATTGGAATTTGGCCTGAAATAAATATTATTTGTTTGCTTTATAAAATGCAAGGGATTGCAAACACTAGTTTGATTTTTTTACTGGAAACGAAAATCAACCTTTGAGGATTGATGGTTCGTTGTTGTTGTTATTGTATCTTTTTTATTACTATTATTTCAATAACAGGTGGATGAGCAATGATCAAATCGATCATTTTTCTTCATTTTGAAACATGTTAAACATTAGAAAAACGTTAATTGAGCACAAAACTAGAGATGGAGAAAGAAAAAAACACACATCGAGATTGATTAGGCTGATTTTTATGTCGCCTAATTTGAATTAAAAATCGTTTTTATTGTGTCGATTTTTTTTTTCGCTGGTATTCGGGGTCTCGAGTATTGTGTCAAATGTCTCTGTGTCAGGTTTTATGACAGTTTTTTTTTGTCTTCTTTCTCTCCGTGTCACTCTCGGGTGTCTTTAAGTTAGATCTGATTGTTATGGCCATTGTTGCAAATGCACGTCTGATGTACCTGTATCATACAGAGGCCGGTTTTAATTTCATTTTATTCGGTAGATTAGCCACTCGTTTCCATGAGCGCGCGGTTGAGAGTGAGAAATACGTATCGCGACACATATCAGAAATAGAAGAGAAGAAGAAAAAAACATCAACGCGCTCAAATGATCGTTGGTTTCGAATGTTTTATGTGTTCCATAACAGCGACATTTATACCATATTTACGCTCAATTTTTAATTTATGAACACGTAAAACAAGACACAGATTCATTAGCCGCTGTGAATGCTCGAGTTGAAATTCAATACGAAAAGTTGAATGTCGATAGGATCGTTTATAATTGATTAAATGAAATGACAGCAACAACAACAACGACAACGATGACGAAAAAAACATGTCGAAAGGCTAATCAACAAGAGGCTGATTATATATAAAAACACAAGATGTGATATCTTTTATTGTTTTCATCTTCTATTTTCTTGTGTAAATTATCCCTGATTTTGATCTGGACAAAAGAGATGGTGAGACAAGACGATCTATAAATTCAACGCGGAAAACCGATGAACAGCAGACAAATACACAAACGACAGACGACGTGAAAAAAAAGGCAACGATGATCATCATGACGATGAAGAAGAAGAAGAAGAAGAAGAAGAAGAAGAAGAAAAAAAATCTGTCAAACATCACCTGCTGTGTTTGGGAGTGACTGTAGCAGTCGAATCTCGTGCGCAACCGTAAAAAGAATAGCATCACCAAAACGCTTTAAATCTAGATAGAAATCAGCGTTTGTCTTTTGTGATCAAATCAAGTGCTCGTCTTTTTTTCTCTTTCTCTCCTCTTCGACTTTGTTGTTTTTTCGCTTCATTTTCGCAGTACCTTCGCTCATTTCATCTTCTTTTATTTTCTGGGAGTGTGAAGCGAAAATGTTCCGAACGTAAAGATAGATCGATCGGGTGATACATTTGTTTGATTTGGAACATCGTACGCAATGTTTGCACCAGAAAAAAGGAACAAACAACCCGAAAAAACAAATCCAAAAGAATCTCACAGGTCCTTGATTTATTCCAATGTCGACACAGTGTTGTTTTTTTCTTGTTAAATGGTTGTAGCGTTTCGGTTTTTTTTTCTGTTCGGGAGCGAAGCGAAAAAAAAGGTCACCAAAATACAATTGAAAACACATGTCCTCTTGAGTCGATCCGCTGTCAGAAGCACTTGATCGTATGGCTCCGATTATCAGCAGATACACAAACGTAATCGATCTCATTAAAATCATCGATAAAAAAATGTATGTTCCATGATGAGCATACAAGGGTTGATCATCGGGCTACTTCGTATTAAACATTTCCATTTTCACATGGAAAGTATCAACAGCCTGAACAGAAAAGCATAAACAGTCTAAACAACCGTTAAAATTAAACAAGGTAAACACGCGTTTTTATGGTTTTTCGGTAACAAGATGTTCATATGTTCGTTATGGTCGAATAAAAGGTCCAATTCTGTGGCTTAGTGTTTTTTTTTTGTTTTTTTTCCTCTCTTTTGTGTGTGATTAAACATCAATGCAATTTAATAATTGAACACATTTTTATAGCGCCGGACGATATTAATAGCGCGAATGCCGCCAGTGTCACATCGTGTTGCTTTCCATAAAAATTCGACTAAGTGTTATTTGGTATCTCCCCATGGTCTGCACTACACTTTCTCTGTTCCCACATTAATTTTTATTTCCATATTCACACAAAACCGTTTCATCGTTTATTGTCTCTCGGTTTTGATTATCAATTCAAAGTTGATCGAATGGTAAACACATTGACTGCGCGCGCACACGGTGCGTGTGTAACGGGCATCGACGCCGTAGTCGTCGTGATCGTCGCGCATTGAAAGCATCACATTAAAACCGAATGAAATTCAGTGGGAACTTTTGGAACGAGCCAGACGAAATGATAATAAATGGAGATGAGAGAGGTAGGTAAAAAAAGAAGCTAACAACAATTGACCGTGTCCAATTTGATATTTATACAAACTACCAAACACAGAGCGAGCGAGAGAAAGAGAAGAAAAAAATCAAACAAACAAATTATCAACACACAGTGATTTCATTTGGTTGCGGCGCTTCTCGATTAGACGGCTATGCCAAGTTTTCTTATTGATATTGATAAAATTAATCGAACGCAACAATAGTTCGAATATTTTGAAAACACTGATTTGGAAAGAAAAATTCAAATTTTAGGCATGCAGTGGCAAAACGAAGCAGAAAAAAAATGTTTGTTTCTCAAGTGAATTGTGGCGAGCGCAGAATCGGCCAATGTGCTCTCTCATCATGCACTCGTATCGATTTTTCGTTATGTTTCCATTTTTTTACTTCACTCTTTCTCTGCATCTCTCGCGGTTGTCTTTATTCCCTTTATTTTTCATTCTATACCAAAATGAATATGAAAGAATCGGTTTTAATGAAAATTTTAAATTTGTGGCGCCCGACTGACCCATTCCTAACTGCGGCTCTCTCTTTCTCTCTCTCTCTCTTTCTCCCTTGTCGACCGCTCTGCCATAAATTAATGATAAAACAATACAAGACACACACAAGCGCATGCATCTATATTATTCACACAGCATCTATAATATCATTCGTGGCTGTTGGAACGGCAACAAAAATCAGAGAAAAATATCCAACGAAAATCATTTATTACTGGTCTTATTCATTCTCTGCGTCTCTCGCTCTTTCACTCGTATGTGTGTTTTGTAAATGTTATTAGCGCTCGGCAAGCGAACCACAATAACTGCAACAGAAACCAAATGAGAATGAAGAGAACCCAATCGAAGCGAAGAACACGACGGACGAAAAAAAACGAAAAACACATTTTATAAATGCTACAAATTTTTTCGAAAGAACATAACGAAAAAAGGTATACATTTGATAGCTTTTGTTTCATTTATATGATGTGATTATGCTTGTTATAAATTCATTTCTCCTGGGCTCTTCATTTCGTTTTCTGTTTGTATTTTCTTTCTTTCTGTTGTTGTTGTTGTTGCTGGTGTGGTTCAGCGCCAAATGTCTAATATCGTCTTGACGACGGAGATTCTGACACATTTGGGAAGAAAAAGTATGTGGCATAAATCAATTTTATGAGATGAAATTATCGAAAGAGACACATTTTTCATCTCTTTTGAATGGTGGAAACAACTCTCTTTTGAACTTCAATTAGCAAGTCATTTAATTAACCATCTTGTAATTTCCCCATTTTTAAATCGATGAGACACATTCTTTTTTGTTGTTGAATGTGTGCGAATTGTGTCTGAAAGTGCATAGATTCATAAAATGCAGTCC